GAGGGAAGGCGTTTAAGTAAAAGAGAGGGAAAGCGAGAGAAGAATAAAGAAAACATGACATCATAGTTAATTAGAATCAGGTGATAAACAAGGGAGTGATATTTACGTTATACCATATGCCCTTCTCCATGTGTCTTTCTGTCTCGGGGGGCGGACGGCAACAGGTTTCAGACAAGTAAGGTCAAGGAGGAGGCTTTCCCCAGCTGCTGGACCACACTGAGGCACACACCCCTTCACCCAAACCGCCCGAGTGTGTGTCTCCGTGTGTGTGTGTGTTGGCAGTTTCTAAAGCCTGTCTTGTCTTTGTTGTTATCACATAAAAGACAGTGTTTATCCTCCAGGAAGCCATGTTTGCCATTTGTACTTGTAAGGTTTTTGCAGCGAGAAATGAAAACCCCTGAACTCATCAGCCAGGTTGTCTGCTGGGCTTCTTTCAAAAGTCTAATCTCTCACAGATTCCTGATTCACATCTTTGGTTTTTTGGTTTTTTAAAGTACTCCGCTTACTCATTCAGCTTGTTGTAGACACTGATTACTTAGATAAAAATGTTTCTGATGCTTTTAATTTTATCAAAATATTTATATATTTGCGCATGAAAGGTAATTCCTGACCTTTTTGAAATAGTAGTTTGACAGAACGACTTTAACTCGTGGTCACTTATTGCTCTGAAGCTTTCAACCACACAGTATTCATCAGTGAATGAAGTCCATCTGCCAATGACGGCCCTGAGCTAGTGTTTGGACTGTCCATTATGAGCTACTGTACAAACATAGCGGTTCAACATGGCGGGCCCTTCACGGAAGGTATTAACAGATAAAAAACTGCTCATTCTAAGGTAACAAAAACATGCCGATTCTTATTTTCATGTGATTATACAAAAATGAAAACATACCTATGAATATTATATTCCATTTCTGCCAGTAGAGCCTCCTAAATGTTACACACTAGATCTTTAAGATAATTGTTAACCTACTGTTTTAAAGGTCAAGAATGAGCAGAGATATACCAATCCGATAGTCAATAATTGTATCGGTCCAATACCACTGGAAAAAAATCACTTGGTCGGATATCTGAGAAAAAAAATGTGATACAATCCATTAGCCTAAACTATTTTATAAAGGCTTAACTAAACTTTGGGTTATGTATTTCTTCCTTCATGGGAGTAGAATATTCCTTTCATATTCGCTTGAACGTGATATTTTTAGATGGCTGAGTTAAGCATCCATACAAATGTATCGTTTTTAGATGTTTATGAGTGGGAAAAATCGGTTTGGTATCGTAAGATACTTGATGTATCGAACATGAAAAAGCGATATCGAGCCATCCCTAAGAATTACCTTTTTATGTTCAAGCCAATCATAATATCTCAGCTCTTGGTCTTCATCAGCAGGTGGTGTCCATTCACCCTGTGCTACAGTATCTCTTTATTCCCAGAGCTCTGCATGGTAATATTAAGAGAATACAGTGAATCAATTACCTGGATCAACTGATTGAAGAATTTCCTTCAGTGTTTTGTTTATATATGTATTTATTTCTATCTCTTTGTTGTGTATTTACAATATGGACAACCAATAATTGAACCGTGAAAATATCTAAAAGGATTCAAAGTCAGTCAAACAACTTAAAGACAAATATATTTTTTATATTTATTTAGGTTTAAATGATTAGTATTCAAAAAGAGAAGCATAAATGGTAAAAAAGACAAGAGTTTGTCCTTTTTGTGTTTTTGTTCGTTTTTGTTAAATATTACACAAAATAAATAAATTTAAAGAAAAAAACATGATAGTGTTAGACTTGCTGTTGTGTTGGTGCTTCTTGACTCTAACTCTTTCTAATCCTTTTCATTTTCTGCTTTCCCTTTACTTTTCTTCTACTTTTCTATCAGTTTTCCATCAATACTTCCTCATCTCTTCTTTCTTTACCTTTCTTGCATGCTGCTTCATATTTCTTCCCAGTCAAGCACCTCACATGTACACAAATCTAGAAATGTGAATTACTAATCACATTTTGGCACAGAAGTAATTTCTTTTCATATTTTCTACTGTGCCAGTGTACTTGATAACTTAAAACTGAAAATAATATATACATTGTATAGCAATATATCTTATTTCTTTCTTTAAAAATAGAAATGTCTTTATCCAACAGAGATGTCCATAGGTTTCCATTCATTTCCTCCTCAGTGCATCATTCAGATCTGATTCAGATCTGTCCAATGTGGCCATCGCTGTAACTGCAAATAAAGTCTGATACCCTCGCAGTCTGCAGAGCTCTCTCAAGGCTGATATGTCCAATCATCGTGGTTGTACCACAATGGGCAGGAAGTGAGTGGCTGTGTTTTTCCTCCTTGTCTTCTTCCCCCTCATTGGCTTGCCGTTGGCGTTCAGTCCCACGAACATGTGCTTCTTCTTGTTCTTCCACTCTGCTGAAGCGTAGGTGTTGTACTTGTTCTCCTCAATACGTTCAATTAGACGACAGTCCAGACCATAGTCCCTCTGCAGGGGCGAGAGACGGGGAGTGTGAATGTGACATACAAATGAATCAGAGCAGAGATTACATTCAAATGTCCAATGTAAAGGCACCACTTCTATATAGGCAGTGATTTGAAACTTTACCACAATATGGTCCTGGCTGTGTGAATGAGATACATGATGTGTGGTTGTACAAGAGCATGAATGCTTTGTAGACCTTAAGCTATGAGTTGATCATTTATCCGCTACAATTTTGATAATTAATTACTAATTTTTCATGCAAAAAACTAACTAATCTTCCATTCAGAAGGCTGTTGTACTGTATATCTCTGGTTGTTTACTTACTGTATGTTTTATTAACTGTGCTTTATTTAATGGGCCCCAGTTTTCAGTTAATCTTCTCCTTATCCACATCTTGTACCCAGTCCCTCTTCTTAATCTTTCACTTTCATTATTACTATTATAACTAGCTTTAGTTGTTACTAGAAAACTGAAGTCAAATCTCAGGCTTTGTTGCTTTTTGTTGCTGCATTTTGTTCATGCTTATTATGTTAAAGTTGTTCTTATGGACCTTGTCTTAGCACAGCAGGAACACGCTGATATTTTACTTCTTGTGACAACGTGGATCAACAAATGGTCAGCTATTGTTTAAGAATCTGCTGCACAATCCCCAGTGTAATCAAGGCCAATTGTAAAAACTGGACATGAAATTCAAATTGTTGTAGATGTTGTTTGTGTGTCAGTGGACTGCAGGGGTGGGGGAGGTGCGGGAAGGGACAGCAGGCAGAGAGGTTAGCATAAGATGTGACGTCTTACAGGTTCGGGCTCTGTGCCAGCAAAGAGCATCGTGACACCGCGTTTGTGGCCTACATTACCGCAGTGACCACCCACTGGTAAATAAAGAGAAAATGATCTGAGAGAGTAACATTTGTCAGTTTACTGGAAGCTGCCCTTGTGCTTAAGGCTAACGTCGCTTAAACAGCCAGTTAACTGGATGCGGTTGATATTCACAAGCAAAAATGTACTTGCCCCGAATGCGTGCACACACACACACACACATGCACAATATAACTCAGTCTCTCTCTCTCTCTCTCTCTCTCTCTCTCCCCCTGTATCTGGCCACAGCTGTTCAAATTGGTTCCAGAAGTAAAACTGAATGTTCCCAAAGCAAAATGAGAATATTTTACAGACACTGTGCAGCTTTCTAATGAACACTCGTGCTCGGTATGACCAAACTCTGTGTGTGTGCGCGCGCCCTGGCTGCCTTTCAATTAAAATGATTGCAAAAGCAAAAAAAAAAAGAAACTGTAATCACAAGTGACATTAAATTATGGTAACGAATCATAAAAAATAATAATGTCAGAATTGCTTTATGAAGTGAATTTATGCCAAAATCTTAGAAAGTAAATATTTACATTTAATAGAGAAATAACTGTTGAATACGATTAATTTTAACCCAGACCACACAGCGAATGTATCACCCCGTCTTCCTCGTTGGTTCTCTTTGAGAATTCTATACGACTTCAATCACGTTACAACCTAAAGGCCTAACCCAATCATACTCTGTTGTGTCATTTACATGCATTAATCTGGCAATGCAATGAAACAATGATTTCATTTGATTACCGCTGGATAAAGAAGTCACTGTGTAAACCCCATCAAGTGTAATCGAACGCCAGCCCCTCACCGCTGTGCTACTATGGCTTGTGTTGCACCGAGCAGAAGACGTCATGGGAATTCAGTTTCAGGCCATGCAACAGAATGCCTCTCTGTCTTTTCTACCGTGTGTCATTTCATCTGTGGTGTAGCTCCAGAGAGACACGCTGAAAGTTGGGTCTTTCAAAGTAAGAAAAAGAGAGGGAAAAAAGGAGGGAGAGAATGAGATGAAGAAAAGGAAGGAGAGGGAGAGAACGGATGAAACAAGGGCTGCTCTCCCCAGAGGGACCGAAGCAGAATAGAGAAACTGAAGGATTGTGTTTCCTGTTTCTGAATGGAGCGGAGAGGAGAGGTAGGTAGCGGAGAGGAGAGCTCACATTGACTGAACTGTGGTTCCTATTTCTGGAATAGAGAGTCTTGTAGCCTTGTCCATTGTTTTAAAAAGGCATTCAAGGAAATTCAAAGCTGCAGAGTCACCAGTTTAGGGAGAAAAGTATCTCTTGTGCAAGGCTCTGACTCATTAAGATTGACACAGATTTTACACCGCGCCGCCAGTAAAAATTTAACAATCGTGAGACTGCACTAGGGTGGGACACTGAAAAACCCCAAAAGGAAAAAACAAAAAAAAGAAGTAACTGTACATTAAAAGGGGCAGATTAATGTCACACAGTACTTTTAACAGCTACTCACCGCTCCATATAGCTCTCCCTTCTTGCTGATTGCCAGGTAGTAGTTACTGCTGAGGCCCCTGATGGCCACCACTCCCACATCCACCGACTTGATCTCCAGAATACCTGGTGCAGCGGGGACAGAGACACAAATGGGTCAAAACTTTGTGGTTTTCTTTCTGTTCTGTTGACTTTTACATCTTGCTGAAACCAGTTACATATGTATGGTCCTAAACAGGTCTGCAACTAATGATTATTTTTATTATGAAAGTCTGTGACGATTTTCCAGCACCCGAAGTGGCATCTTCTAATTGCTTGCTTTGTTTGACCATCAGTACAAAAGACAAGTGATATAAACCGATATAAATCCTTGCTTTTGAGTAGATCAAAACAAACAGATTTTGGATTTAACTGTCAAAATTAGCAAATATTTTTCTGTCCATTGACTAATCACTAACTAATACTGATTAACTGACTTCATGGCATTTATACTGTTTCTTCCATGTGTTGACGTTGTTACCAAGAAAATATGAATAAAGGTTGGCGAGAGTATGGGATCTGAAACACCACAATAGTATTAGACCATATTAAAATTAGTTTAAAATGTGAAAAGTGCATCTTGGAATATGAGGTTTTAGGTCTGCACGCATCACTGTTAATTGGAGTTCCTTGATTCCGCAGGAGAAACCTGAATCATCTCTGTTTCGTCCGCACAAGTGAACCCCAGTCTTGTCTCCCCTTCTCTTTTTTTTCTTCACGATGTGACAGGCAGACCTCAGACCGGCCTCTTGCCCCCTGTTCATTTGCTGGTTAGCTTGTGGGCTGCATGCCCTGGGACCGAGGTGTAAGCCAGGAAAAAACATTTCTCCGTTCTATGTTTGTTTTTCTGACCAGGGGAGCTCAGGCAGGCGGGCAGGCAGGCAAATGGGCACACGGACAGGACGGAGAGAGGCTTCGTGGCTGCCAGACTGGCAAGAGGTCAAGGCGTCCGTATCAGTTTTCAAGCCTGAACCAATTACTGGTTTAAGCTGTGGTCGCGGGGCCTTTCTTCTCTCATCCTAAAGTCAGTTACACCAAGCCATAAAACTATCAGGGGTTTGAGAGGATTAGCCTAAAGGGGCCTGTAGGAAGTGGAGCCTGGTTGCAGGAAAAGTCGAGAGGATGAATTGAGAAACAGGGACAGTTTATCCAGAGTATCTCTCGAGGTCTGTTATTTTCATTTTTGAGATTTTAAAGTGTCAATAATTAGACAATTTCCTTTTTGAGTAATGTGTTATGGACAGCCTTATGCCCCTGCTGCACTGCCAAAAAAACTAGTGCGTCTGTCTACTTCTCCTAGAGCGAACCGCAAGATTTAGTAGTAAATGACTCTTAAAATCTAATACAAATCAAATTTGTCTTTTTACCAGATGCCCATTTCCTCCCCTCATCCACTCTTTCTCATTCTCAGACAGAGTTCTGCAACGTCCTGCAGCCCTGGTGTGATTTTTGTCACAGAGATGAAGGGATGAGGAAGCGGGTTGTCGCCCTCAAACTGTTGTGTTTTACAGCTATAAATCCCCACTCTGAACCTTTTATATGCTGAGATATCTTTCTTTGTTAGACTTTTGGACCTTTTCTCACTGCAAAATGTGTCACACTTGTCTCCCATTGTCTGCTGTAATGTCTCATTGCTTTACAATAGCAATGAGAGACTGTTTTGCATTTGGAAATGTCTAAAAAGAACATAAAAATTAAGTTGATGTTTTGCAGTGACAAACAGTTTTTCCTTGAATGTGTGTTGTTGTTTTTTTAAAAGTTTTTGGCCATGTTGCTTTTTGTGAAATGTAGTTCTGATGTAAACCAGCATTAATCCATCCCCACGGTTGCCTTATTTGGTCAATAAAGGCTTGTTGAACCTCTGAACTTCAAGAAGATTCTCGTAGCTCACAGTGCATCATGTTGGCTTGTTATGTTAAGTCCATTACTCACACAGACGTGTACCACAACACAACGCTGATCTATCAGGTTCAAAATGTTCTGTCTCGCTGCGCCACAGCTGACATTTCTGAGCTGTGATCTGTCAAAATAAGATCTGTCTGTGCTGCACTAAAGGCCGGTCCACCTGTTCAAACCCCTTTTTGCCTCCTCCCGTTTGATGTGGTTTGTCAAAAACCAAAGCACAGGGCTCTTTTATGGCCCCTTTACCAGTTACCAGAAGCAGCCCGTCTGCCTGCAAGTTAAAAGGCCAGGCTGCAACAAAAGGCTTAGATTGCAACAACAGAGTTTATGGCAAGGAGATGGAGAAAAGCAGGACCTGAGCTTGTAACACAGACCCGGACAACAGCTCTTTGTGATAAATACACACACAAATACACAGAGGCAGTGATGCACAAACACACTGCTACACCTACATTGCTCTTAAAACTTAAAACTTTATTTTACTCGCTGATTTTCCTCATTCAGCACATTGTCTTATTAATGTCTTGAGTCTGTTATGTATTTTCTGAAAAACTGTTTTTCTCCCTCCTTGTGCCCCCTGGATCTCAGCCCAACATCTTAATTATGAATTTATGTTTTTAAGTGCAAAGGAAAAACAGTTTTATGACCCAACACTAAATGCACAAATAGCACAGTTAATATAAAAAGCATGGACATTTTCCGCTATCAACATTTTTTTTTTTAAACTACCAAGGGCAAACACCTGTGTGTAACAGGGCAACGCTACAACTTTCATAAAGACAGGCCAAAAGGGGTCTTTGCCAGTCAAACCCAAACCGTAACACTAACGGAGCTGCAAGTACAAATAAACACAACCTGGCCTTCTAACAGTAAGAAACTGTTCATTAACCACTTCATAAAGACCACTACGATGTTTAATGTGTTTTGTAGCCAAAACTAAACTCCAGTGTGACCCCGTCAAAGCCATAAACGTGAATGGAAATGTGTCTCTTTTAAAATGCATGTAAACGTAAAAGGACTGTAATTATACAACAGTTTTAATACATTTAAGATATTTTTGTTCCGTAGCTTTAATTGGTGTTTGGAGGGTTAAAAGTTTGCGATGATCTAAATCCACATTTTATGGATGGTTGGTGTTTCTTTGTATTCCGGTTCTGTCACACTTTCAAAGCTCTGTGAAATAATTCCTCATCCTAACTGTCTCTCTCGTCACTTTCTTTTTTGTCTATATTCTTTTCTGTCTACTCTCTAATCTTCTCTCAGTTTCACCTCTCTGTCAACCATTCAGCTTCCCATCTGACTGAGGACACATTAGGCACAAGTCCTTATTACGATAACACACACTGGCAAACTGTAACAGAGGACTTGCTAGCACAGAAAGTCTAGTTTTGAATAAAGTACTGTCTGTTATGGTTTGATATTTTAAAAACGTTTGTCCCTAAGAGAGGATGACAGGATGCCACATTGAAGAATCTTTCTGATAACAAAAAGACAGTCAGTTTGAAGTTAACGCTGATAAGTAGCACATTTGTATTAAAAACTGATGGTGTTTTTGCTCTTATACCACATAAATAAAAGTCACTGGGTAAGTAACCATAGAATTATTAAATATATAAAGGATGGGGAAATATGTCAAATGGTTACTTTGTACCGCATTCAAAGTGTAACCATCACTTGCAAGTTAAGATAAACACTAGTTGTCACTTTTAATAGGAATTTACGGCTCTGAACGGCAGACGGAGGTGGCTTCGGTAACGCAACCAGCTTTCCAACTAGCCTGCAGTACACAGACACACACACACACACACACACATTCACACTCACGTATACATAACAGCACAGCACACACGATCACAAACAGGAACACACACATGCGCAGAGACCTCCCATCGACCCCTGCCCGGCCCTGTTGGAAACCCGGTCGGTGAGACTCCAGCTGAACCTAAAGGTTAAGGGAGGTTATGAAAATGTTCCCACTGTTTATCCAGGAGATTTTTTGAAGATTATGCTGCGGTTGTTCACAATTTGACCTCGACATGGTGACCAGCTGTGAGTGGGTCTACTGCGTGCCTGCAGCCCGGAGAGGTCTCGCTCTGTATTGTGAAATATTGTCACTTGCGGACTAGCTTGTGTCATGAACTCCCCTCAGTGCAAAGAATGGAATGGTTCGGTTCTTTTATTCTGCGTCCAATAGTCAAATATTTGGATGAACCCCTGTGTTACTCTGCTGCGACTAAATCTCTCACTCTTTTTAGATGTTCAATATAAATGTGACATCCAGGAAACTAAATTTTCATATAGCAAAAGTGGCCCTATTATGTGTTGTGTTTTTTTTAAAGATTTAATATCTGATTTGCATCAGTTGAGGTCTGAACACCAAGATCATTTTTCCTCTTTGAAACTATGGCAACAGAGGGACTGACGACGACTCATATTCATTGTGACAAGAGAGTTTACGTCCATGCAACCACCAAAGACTTAAAAGAGAAGAAAATCCATGCCAGTAAAAAAAGATAAAAGATTCAAAAGAAGAATAGAGGAATTCAGAAAGAAAACATGGACCACCAATGTGCTCAAATCAGATATCAGTTGAAAATATGAAACTTATTCTGCTGTATTCGGCCATATAGATACAAACAAACTAAGAGTAAAATGCATGCAAACAAGTATTCTTGGCCACTGCTGCAATTCCACAAACCCATGCTTTAAACAGGATTAAACTATTTCCTTTGCATTATTTTTTCTCAGAGTTTGGTTGAATATTTCCGGCTCTTTATGAAGTCTGAGAGAGAACAAACACTCCTCGGTTGTGCAGCTTTGCTTGGTGAGTGCTGGTGAAGATATTGGGTTGGAGTGGAAACTGCTGTATATTATGTGTTTTGAGGAGCGTTGAGGTATTGGTTTAGACTGATGTGGTTGACAACAGTATCATCCTGTGCTAAGTGGCCACATCAAAGCCCGCCTGGCCGACGGTTTAGACCGAAGCTGAGAAAACAGAGGCCTGTTTCTGATTTTCAATATAGACACATTTTTTTTTACAAATAGAATATTTGGTAAACTGATTTGTTTTCAAAATTTGTTTTGCTCATATCAAGTTTCTGGGCTGTAAATCATATTAAACAGATATGGTTTGCCCGTTTTTTTATTGCACTGAATGAGTTTCTTCTCCAGTATTTTTTTCATTA